TGAACATACGAAGTCCAGTATTAATAAAATTGTCTTTGCATAAACTGGTATTACATGAAACAATATATATGTCATCTTTTCCCCTTGTATTATATGAATGTATTTCTGAAATGGTTGCAAGAGTATTCAAATTTGACTTTGTGTATACCAGAGTTTCATAAATATACAAGCATGGTAAGGGCAATATAATTAATTAATTAAATTACTGTTTACAACTAGTAGTTTTCTGAATTTGCATCATAGCTCTAATAGCTCTCTTTTGCAACTTAAAAATCAATTTAGCATTTGGTGAGTTGCCCCAGAATAGTATTCCATATGATAAGAAGGAATGAAAGTAGGCATAATATAGAGTACGAACAGACTCCAGCCCTGATACTCTTTTTACTACTCCTAGACCAAAGCATATTTTACATATTTTGGGTCATAATGTGTGTGTGCGAGCGTGCGTGCGTGTGTGTGTGTGAGAGAGAGAGAGAGAGAGAGAAAATGTACAGTAAGAGAAGTAAAGAGTAATATCCAAGTGAATCGGAGTTTTATTCAGAATAATCACCTCGCATTATCAATGCCATCCAACAGGTTATGGGTCCAGAAAACTGAATACGCGTTCGTGAATGTGGAAATTAAACAAGTAAAAAAAAAACTGGTGATAGGTGTGAACAGTGAGATTGCGAGTCTTTGTGCCTGGTTCCGACTGCGTGTTGAAGGTTTCCAAAATTAACTACAATATGAATGAAGAAAAATATTGCATACCGCTGTCTGACGGTAAGAACTATGATGATTGGAAATTTCAGATGGAAGTATTCTTGGACGAGAAGGATGTGTTAGTACACGTGCAGGAATCATTGGGAGAGGTTATGTGACCACATGAGATACTAGAAACAGACACACCAGCAGTCAAGAGGACTAAGGAAGAGAAACTGAAGAAACTTGAAAAAGTGGACAAAAGATGCAAAAGTTATATTATACAGAGGATTCAAGATAATCAGTTAGAAATAGTGAAAGGCGTTGGAGGACAGATGTTTGAAAGTGAGCGCAACAAGCAGAATAAATCTTGTCAAGAAACTACAGTTGTGTATTCCGTATTGAGGGGGTTGGTTTCCCCATGCACTTAGACCGGTTACTGGTCCATTTTGCGTCCCTCTTTAATTTCTACTGTCTCCATACCCTACCGGTACTGGTGCTTACTATCAGCCCCTTTCTGCCAGCGAGGTTCCAACCTCTTACTGGCAGTGGTATCTAATAGTTAGTCCCTTTATGTCAGCGAGGTCATCCCTCCTCTGGCAGGAGTTCCTAGTCCCTTTCTGCCAGCAAGGTTTCTACCCTCTACTTGGCAGTGGTATCTAATACTTTAGTTCCTTTCTGTCAGAGAGGTCCCCCCTCCTCTGGCAGTGGTACCTGATACTACCCCCATCTACCGGAGGAATTGGAAACTAGTTGGGCGGGAAACTTGGCCTAATTTTGCTCAGAGGTCTCCTAGAGACATGAGGTTCTTTTACGTGCCGTAAATCTATGACACAGGACCCACGGCTTAAAGTCCCTCCCGGAGGACTTGTTCCCTGAATTTTTCTGCCCTTAAAAATTCCACAACCTCCGCCGGGTTTTTGAACCCGCGTACCTTGAGTCATGAGGTGGGAACGTTACCCCTAGACCACGGAGGCTGCTTACAGTTGTGTATATATAATCCATTTCAAGAAAGGTTTGAAGATTTTTGTGTGAAGTTTGACAGAATTATTCGAGACTTGAGACAGGCAAGTGAGAGTCATGATGATGAGAGTGTGGTCATACAATTTTTATTGTCCATGCCGGCTGAGTATGAAAGTGTAGTAACAGCCTTAAGAACTGTAGCCATGTCTAAATTAATGCTTGAGGGGGTGCGCCAACATATTGAAGAATTTGAAGATGATAGCGAAACAAAGAAGAAGAAGACAACTAATGTAACATTAACAACTGCATTCACTGGGTATCAGCAAAGTCGGGGAAATTACCAGTCCCGGGGTTATTCCACAAGATTGGGATGACCAACCATAAGGTGGTGGAATGCTTCAAACCAGGAGGAGCTGCTCAATGAGGAGCCAATTTGAGGGGAAGCAGAAGTATACAACTGAGGAGAAGTGATAGAGGTGAACATCAAGGAGGCCGTGATGGACGGTATCAGCAGACGGTAAATCTACCACGAGACCTAGGCAGAGGACCATGTAATCTCTGAGGAAGAAATTATAATAATTATGGAAGGAGAATAACAGACGTCCAGCAAGTATATGTGCCTGAGGACACAGAACCACCAGTGTATACAGAAAGCAGTCTTCTGGGATTTGGCACCGTGTATATGTGGTGTTAACCGACGTTTCGGAGGAACGTCGGTTAACACCACATACCTATACACGGTGCCAAATCCCAGAAGACTGCTTTCTTCATAGTCACCGCCGTGAAAGCCTCAAATCTTACACCAGTGTATAGTTTCCATATTTCTGTTGGTGCAAATTATATAGATAAAAGGAATATGAGCGCTTTAGATGTAAGTGTTTGGCTTCTAGATACGGGAGCTACAGATCACCTTGTGAGAGCTGATACAAGAGCAACCAATGTAAGGGTCCTTTTGAATCCAGTAAAATTACACATTGCTAAAAGTAAGGAATTTTTGGAAGCCAAAAGAACTGGGGATGTGAGAGGGGTAACTTATGTCAATGGCAAACCAGTAATACTTGATTTTAAGAATGTGTTTTTGGTGGACAATTTGAAATTTAATTTGTTATCAATTTCCAAACTTGAGGATAAACAATGTAAGATGATAACTGAAAAGGGGAACTTTGCCATTTGGTATAATGATATTAAGATTGCTGAGGGAGTTAGACATGGCAAGTTGTATAAATTGCAATATAAGGTTGGAACAGAAGTTGAGGAGTGTCATTCTGTGAGAGAGCAACTGTGGCACGAGAGGATGGGACATCTTAGTGCAGAAGGATTGAGACAATTGCAGAATTCAGCAGATGGTATGGACTGTATTCATAAGTTTGAACATAAAATATGTGACGTATGTGTTGAAGGGAAACAAGTGAGTGTGTCACACTCCCATTCTAGGGAAAGAGCGAGCAGAATACTTGAAAGAATTCATAGTGATATGTTTGGTCCTATCAGTCCTACTGGATAGAATGGAGTGAGGTACTTACTAACTGTAGTAGATGATTTCTCTCATTTCACGGTTGCATATGGTTTAAAGAATAAAAGTGAAGTTACCCAATAT